TATTTTCCAGGATTGACAAATAATTTTTTCAGAGTCTCCTTACCAAGCAACTTGACAATCTTTAAGACCAAAAAAATGGTCTCGTAATCTTTTTAAATGCCACAAACCGTAGAATCTTGGGCAAACCACACTGCTATTTCTCCCTAAAGCTAACATTCCTGTGTAATGTTAACCCAGAAAAGTCAATACCTTCATCAGGAGCACTTCAACTGAGTTTCACAGCCCAGTTGTGGTGACAGTGGTGAAGGTAGCAATAGCAGTTTAGAAATATCTCCAGGGTTTTTTTTTTTTTTTAAAGAAAGTAAAGTTAAAAAATAAGAATGGGAAGCAAAAATGCACCCATGCCCTCCAAAAGTGAGCAAGTTTCCTAAGTATTCTCCCTGTCCTGGTCACATCTTTGGAAGTCTTGTCTCCAGTTTCAGGCCTGTAGCTAACAGCTAGATTTTGTTGTTGTTGCTGTTGTTAATAGATAGAGTCTCGCTCTGTTGCCCAGGCTAGAATGCAGTGATGTCAGCCTAGCTCACAACCTCAAACTCCTAGGCTCCATTAATATTCCTGCCTCAGCTCTCTAGTAGCTAGACAACAGGCACCCACCACAACACCCAGCTAAATTTTCTATTTTTAGTACAGACGGGGTCTTGCTCTTGATCAAGCTGCTCTTGAACTCCTGAGCTCAAGAAATCCTCCCACATCGGCCTCCCAGAATGCTAGGATTATAGGCATCAGCCACCTGGCCTATACTATAGTTGGCTTTTATAACAAAGTTTATTTCCCCCATCTATTACCCCCCATCCTTTCTAACTTCTCACTTACAAAAACAGGAAAAGACCTTGAATGTAAACTATTCTAGATTCAAAAACATAATATTTAAACATTCAGCCAAATTTTCAGTGACCATTTGTTCTTTTTTAAAAAAGCAAATAGGAGTATAGGGGTACAAGAATCTTAATTATTCTGGCTTGGTGCCCGTAGCTCAGTGATTGGTGCCCGTAGCTCAGCCTGGCCATATACACTGAGGCAGATGGGCTCCAACCCAGCCTAGACCTGCTAAACAACAATGACAAACTGCATCAAAAAACTAGCTGGGCATTGTGGTGGGCACCTGTAGTCCCAGCTACTTGGGAGGCTGAGGCAAGAGAATCGCTTAAGAGTTGGAGGTTGCTGTGAGCTGTGACGCCACAGCATTCTACCGAGGTGACAAAAAAAAAAATCTTAATTATTCTAAATGTTGTGTGGAGATACTGGAGGCAATAATCTTCTGTCTTTTATGATTAGGGAGTCTGCAAACACTGAGTTAAAGAGAAGGATAAGGGGGAGGTTCCTGGACCTGCTTCTCCTCGGCAGGAGACTAGAGCTGGCTAGAGCTGACTTTTATAACCCTTTATTTTCCCCCATCCTTTCTAACATTTAAGGTCCTCTGCCTTCTGGTCCCAACCTGGTCCTTTTCCAGCCTCCCTCTCACCAGGTTTCACAGCCCAGCCACACCCAGATCATTGCTGTCCCTCAAATTCTTCCTTTACTCCCCCCTCCTTCCAGGTATTTTTCTACCATTCTGGGAACCTGAAACGTCTTTCTCCTCTTTCTCCCTCTGCCGAGCTCCTGTTCCTTCCGTAAGGACCAGTCCCATTTCCCACCAGGGAACCTTCCTTACTTCTTCCAACCTCTCCTAAACGTTTTAGGAAACTGCCCTTCCCGTGCATCTCGGCTCACTCATACTCAGCAGCACCTGCTGTCTCCAGATGTGTATCTGGATCTACAAGTGTATGTCTCTCTAAGCTAGTTGCTTGAAAGCTTTTTGAGCAACCACCACACCTCTTTCATCTTCAGATCTCCAGCGCTGATCACAATCATTTCACTGGCAGCCGTGAACCTAGAAACAAACATGGTGTGGTGTTTCTCGAGTAAACTACTTGGGCCCAATCTCGCAGGATGGTTGTGAAAATTAAAATGGTGTGCCCAAGTTACTCTGCAATCGTCAGCAAAGTATATTTCAGCTCTCGTCTCACAACCACCTACTTTGGCCTATAAATGCGGACATGCTGGGGTTTAGATTTTTGTTTAGGTTGAATACATTTGTGGGTCATTCCTTTTTCTAGGTTCGTTTTAAAAATTTAGCATCCAGGCCATATTCTCTTCATGCCCACGGACTTTCCTATGAAAAATCATCAGAGGGAAAGACGTATGAAGATGACTCTCCCGAATGGTTCAAGGAAGATAATGCTGTCCCGCCCAACAGCAGTTACACCTACGTATGGCATGCGACGGGGCGATCGGGGCCAGAAAGCCCTGGCTCTGCCTGTCGAGCTTGGGCCTACTACTCATCTGTGAACCCGGTGGGTGCTTCCCTCGACAGTTTTCATTATTCCCCTAACCTCATAACCTGAGGCCACCAAATGGAAGGGCTGGGTTATTTCCTGTTAAATATCGGTCTTGCTTTTCATGAGGAATGTTTGAGGGCTGTGGTCACCAGTCTGCAGTTACCATAACCAAGGAATCTCCATTCCTTGGAGACAGACAGAGGAGCTCTTCAGATGACAGAGACACAGACGTTTATTCAGTGGAGAAGAAGGAGGATCCCTTAAATCAGGCATCCTCAAACTATAGCCTGTGGGCCACATGCAACCCGCCTAGGACATTTATCTGGCCCACTGGGGGGCGGGGGGGTTGCCACTGCTGCCTGTCCTGCTTAGCAGCCAACTCATCCTGGGGCCCGCAGTCCAGCCCTCCAACGGTCTGAGGGACAGTGAACTGGCCCCCTGTTCAAAAACATTTGAGGACCCCTGCCTTAAATGGTTGGCCCGGGTTAGAGTGCCCACATTTTCAGAAAATGACATTGAGTTTCCATTTTCTTTCTTTATGAAAGACTTGCAAAGTCAAGGCTCTTTCATCTATCATTCCACAATGTATATATCCTTCAAAACAAGCAGCTGTGAATACATACAGTAAAATACATACAATTTTATATGTCAATTTAAGAAAAACTCCTTCGTTCAAGGCATGGTAGAGAAAACAGACCTAAAGTTCTACCTGGTCCTGTAGCGTGTGACCCTAGAAAAATCATTTGACCTCTCTCAGCCTTGGTTTCCAAAGTTGAAAATGAGGTAATGGTACATAGTAAGCCCTTGGTAAATATTTGTTCAATGAAGGAATTTATATTTGGCATGTAAAATAGATGTCAGGATTAAATGAGATACAGGCAAAGTAAGGTGGGGGATGCTCAAGAAGCAGTATCCATGTATATTACCAATGTTATCCTCCTCAGCATGTTAGAGGAAGACAGTGTGAACACAGCAGAATTGAATGATAAATATCCAGGCTCATTAAGCTGTTCCTTTATAATCTCCAAATTCAGAGCTGCTAAGAAAGTTTCCTTTTCTGTAAGATCAGTGCTTGTCAGAGAGCAAGGAAAGTTCTGAGATGGCGCCGATACATGCAACTTGCTCTTACTGCCTTCCAGGAAAAGGATATCCACTCGGGCTTGATAGGTCCCCTGCTGATCTGCCGAAAAGGAACGCTTGATAAGAGCAACATGCCAGTGGACATGAGAGAATTTGTCTTACTTTTCATGGTCTTTGATGAAAAGAAGAGCTGGTACTATGAAAAGGAGCCCAAAAGGCCTTGGAGACTCGCATCCTCAGAAGTAAAAAACTCCCATGAGTTTCATGGTATTTTCCTCTGACTTTGATCTAATCTCTGAATTAAATCACACTGGGTCATGGTGATTCCCGCCCTTAGATCTTCACGAGATTAGACGCAGGATGCTTCTGAGGAAGGAGGGGCTGCAGTGAAAGCCGGCTTGTTAACATCTCAGAGGGCTGACCTAACCTGGCAGGTGACACTGGTGATGGAGGATAGAGAAAGTCTGGACGATAGTGCACAGTGGCTACTGCAGAACAAACCCTCAAACAAAGCCAGTGGGCCGCAGTTGGTAACAGATACGGAAAAGGGATTGCCATCAATCTGCCATCTTAAAAGATAAGCCTGTTCCTTGATCTCTAGAAGAGATATCATATAGATCATTTGTGTAGAAGAAACAATCACGTGTCTTTTCTAAAATAAGGATGGTTGTAACAGGTCTAGGTTTCAGGTGGCTCCAAAGCACATGAGAATAAAATGAGACAGGAAACTGGGTAGCCAGGCAGTGGGAGGACAGTGGCAGGACAGCATTTGGGTGATCACAGTGGGCAAAGCATGCCCACCTGGAAACTCACTCAGCAATCTGGCCTGTAAATTGGCAGCTGAAACAGAAATCAAGATGGGCGGGTAGGAGCTGGTGTGGTCAGCATGTAGACAGGTGTTCCCATACCTGATAGAATTTTAAGGGTGCCCAAATGATCTCAGCAGTTCCCCTTCTAAAAGTTCCCTTGCCTGGTTCCTAAAATTCCACAGCAGTTCTTTTAACTTAAGGAATTAAAATAAACTTCTCTCACTTCAGTCGCAATTAAATGCTTCCTAGCACAGCACCAAGCTTTCTCATTAAAATTTGGTGTTGCATTTTTTAAATGATCAAGTTTAACAGGTAACTATTTGAAAAGCCCACCTATTTCACTAAGGGGAGAGTGGTAGAAGCTGGGAATCCCGGACACCTAAGCTGGGAAGGAGGAGGAGGAGCTATCACATCAGCAAGAGGTTAAAGGTGACACACTTATTATGGTTGGTGGGCACGCCCAAGATAAACTCCAGCTTCCTAATTTTGCCTGGAACTACCTCTGAATGTAGGAGGCCTTAGGTGACAGGCTGCTCATCTGCTTACTCTAACACCTGTAGCTTGTTCTGTCTGCCTGTATTGGTTCCTATTTTTTTGTAGGAAAGGAATATTCAGACCATTAATGAGAAGGCTAAATGGATCAAGCCCAGAGCAGAATGTAAAATCCGGGGCAAAGAGGGATAAACTTCTTGGAAAGGGAGCTCCCCTGCGCCTCTGCTCTCTGCTGCTGGAAGTGACATGAGGACGGTTGCAGCCTCTCCCTGCCCTGACATAGAGGAGGGCTCTTTCTAGGCCTTGGCGGGCCTGGGGCTGCAGAGAAATGAGGAGGATGGGCAGTGAGTAGGGCACCCCATACCTCCTTACCAGCCTCTCTTCTAATGTAAACAGGTTTTTAATTGGTTCTAACTCTGTCTTTTCAGCCATTAACGGGATGATCTACAACCTGCCTGGCCTGAGAATGTATGAGCAGGAGTGGGTGAGGTTCCACCTGCTGAATGTGGGCGGCTCCCAAGACATTCACGTGGTTCACTTTCATGGGCAGACCTTGCTGGAAAACGGCAATCAACAGCACCAGCTCGGGGTGTGGCCCCTTCTGCCTGGTAAATAATGGGCAATGGAAAGAGTCGCTACTAAGAAATACCAACAGAAGGCAATCTCAGCATGTGTGACTCCCCCTTGCTTCCTCCTCCAGGCATCTTCCTCCCAGGGGCTCAGAGCACGGTTTTGTCCCAGAGCCCAAGCAAAGCCACATGCCCAGACCGTGCACAGAGCGTAAAAGCGTCACCTACTGTGTGCACTGCTGGGAGCACCACTCAGGCTGAATGTGTGGCCTGACTTGGTTCTACAGAGATGCCATGTCACATGCAGGTTCTCCCAAGCCACTATGTCACACAGATCAGGTCTGAACAGGTGACACAGTGAATCTCACAGGTCTCAGGCAGCTAAAGCTATCTTTCAGAAGTGAGATTAGAAATGTATCAGGATTTCCAGATTCCTGAGTTCTCCTCCTGGCTCTATCACCCTAATATCTTTGAGCAAGGGACCACTCAAAGATATTAGGGTGATATCCTTGGGTCACCCTCAAGTCATAGGGTGAATGGCAAGGAATCATAATCTTGGACTCATAAGGCTATAGAGGAAAAAACAAGTTTTTAAAGTGAGAGAAAAACCTTTTTGTAAAAGCTAAAGAACAAAGGTATTTAGAGCTTTTCCTGGGCAAAATGATGATAAATGTAGATTTACACAAATTGCAATCATCTGTAAAGTTGTTTATGTGCCAGAGAGTTGTTTGTAGATGTATCTGCTTGTGTAATGGTGTGGGAGTGGCAGATGCCAGATTCACAAGCTTTGGTGCGTGTCACAAAAACCGAGGATGCAGGTGCCAATGCAGACACAAAAGCAGAGATTCTGTCCTTGGAGACTTTAGTGTAGATCTTGGGCAGAATTTCCAGGAGTCTGCGTCTTTCATGGGTGGCTTCCCTTCCACCAGTGCTGACTGAGCACCTAGCAAGGGCTGTCCCGGTAGCCACTGCAGTCCAAATGGGGCTGGTTTGGTGTAGAGAAAAGAAGAGGGTTGTTAATTTTCACGTGCAGGTGACTCACTAGTACATCTAGAGAGACTTGGTCTGTTCAGATCGGAGACAGGGAAGATTAGGGAAGCCTCACTGCTTATCTTTTCACCAAGCATTAGCAGACCAGCCATCCTTCCCATGAACCTGCAGGATGAACTGAGAGGCTGGGACCATCTGCCCATCTAAATCTCCAAACCCAAGTATCTGCATTGGAGGGAGGAAAACTAGAGATCTTAGCTCAGTGTGGTGAAGGAGATGACCGTCGTCTATTAATTTTCACCCACAATCTGGGAAACAGTTACAAATTATAGTTAAGAGAATTTAGGTATTGACTGGCAGGGCATAACATTAAATACCAGAATGGATAATTAGGTTTCAGAAATCTCATTTTTTCAGTGATTTTTTAAAAATACATGCAAATATATAAGCTTTATAGAAAATCCAAAAACAGAGGAAGAATGTCTCATCTTCATTTTCTCATTTAAAAAGAGGAACAAAACAAAATGAAGCTAGAGAAAGGAAACACAATGTTTTTGAAGCCCAGTGATGAATCATTCAAGGTCACTTTGATATTTAGGACTGTGAAGCTGTATTATGTATGATTTAACTCATATTTAGATAAGTGAAAGTTCCTTTCTCATGATGGGGGTGGGGATGTTTTTACATCCTAAGGCGACTGATTTTTAGTCAGTGTGTATATTGCTGTTGTTTTTTTTTTATCTGTTCTACATGTAGTCTTATCTAAAGAAGGATAGCTCTTAAATTCTATCCCAAAGTCTCTTGGGAAGCAGGGATTTTAAGATTCTTGGAGAGCTATCAACCGCAATGCTAACTTGTTAATCTTCAGGTGTATAAGCGTCTTAACTCTATTTCAGGTGCATTCAAAACTCTTGAAATGAAAGCATCAAAACCTGGCTGGTGGCTCCTAAATACCGAGGTTGGAGAAAATCAGAGAGCAGGGATGCAAACGCCATTTCTTGTCATAGACAAAGGTATCACTTGAGAGTCATGCAATTTTTTTTTAAGCAGGAGAGTGTCTAATACTAGAATACTACTTTTTTAACTTTTTATTAAATTATATCTGTGTGCATTAATGCATTTATGGGGTAAAATGTGCTGAGTGGATTCCACAATGTGGAATGCGTACATCAAACTGGTTAACGTAACCATCACCTCACTTATTTGTTGTGGCAAGACATTTATATTCTACTCTTAATATTTTAACATGTACCATTGCAGACAGCAGATATTCAACTCTTGCGAACTCTGATGTGATAAAGGCATAATTTGCAGCCAGAGTCTCTTTTATTCTGGCCTCTGGT